CCCAAGGAGGCGATCGTACTCCCACCCCTAGTTCCCACACAGCTGCCGAAGGTCCCTCCTCCTCTGCCGAAAACGAGACAGGCACTTTGACGCCTACCTTACCGTCGCATGGCGCTGGACACAGTGCCACACAAGTTGAATTCCTAGTGGGCGGCTATCGCCAGAAGTCCGCCGTCTCCGTCACTTCGAATGCTGCGTCGGGAGGAGGCCGGAAACGCTCCTTCCAGTGTGTTATCTGCGGCAGAACATTCAAGAAGCGCAAATTTTTCGATGATCACGAACAGCTCTGTCGGCAGGTGCGTTATTCATCCGTATGTTTATTCACAAAACCTGAAAGTTACCCCCCCCCACCCCTGCCGAATCTCACATATACCTTCCGAATTGTGAATGGCCTGAATTATTGCTTTGTCCCCGATGATTTTTGTCACACAGGCTAACACGCCCACTTTGCGCGGTCATCCCCTAAAACTGCGCCTGGAAAAAGTAAGGATCGATAGATGCAAGTTTTTATTCAGTAACAGCAAGGACGCAGCGTGGAACTATCTGCACGAAGATGCTATTCTCTCCACCTGTGTGAGCGCATTTAAGAGCACACACAGTATGCATCAAACTTCTCATTCACCAGTCACATACAAACATATAAATCAACAAATTAAATATAATCATACTACTCGCAATAAGTGAGTGGACGTATATGTTTAGTCTTTTAAACTAACCGACGACTGTTCGCCTTTCGCCTGCGATTATGTAAACCTCATTTTTTTGAATTTTCCATCTAGATTGATGCATTTTCCAGCCATTTTGCTACCACTAGAGAGTTCAAAGGCGATCGTCCATCATTTCCTTAATAAAACCGAATTGAAATGATTTAGGCACCTCTCGCTATTTCTATTTGGCTATTTCAGCTGCTTCAACCATAGTCCAACCAAGACACGCACACATCCAATTCTGTTCTTTTGCTGTGTCTCTTTTTATTCAGCATGGTTGTTGCGGCCTGTGGAGGCAGGACTTTCTTGGTTATCTAGGAAATTGCAGGAGTTCGAATGCCATTTGAGAGATCTTAAGGAGATAAAACTGACGTTCATGGGAGGAAAATAAATGGTAACAATAGAGTTGCTCGAGGTCAGATCCATTTGTCGGATCCAGTCCATCATATGTATATATATATATACTTATAAATCTCCTATATACAATTTAGTAGGCGTGTTTGTGCTCACTACTGCACCCCAAAATTGGGAAATCTTGAGCTTCGCGTAGCTACTTTTGGTTCTTCCAGACTTCCAGTGCTTCCAGACTTTTGGTTTTATTAGTTATAGTTGTAGTTTAGTTTTCAGTTTATTGTTTAGTTTATTAGTTTAATTGCCGTTATAGATTTAGATACCTTACTTTTTAATTTAATTTTTTAAGCGACATACGGTTGCCTTCCGGCTTATCGTACTACAATGTCTCTAAAAAGGCATTATAAATTTTTGTTGGTTTTAAAAACGGTGGGGGGAGTCTATCTTTGATGCTTTTATTTTAATCTCTAAATTTCGACTTATTTGCATGCCTATATGTAGGTAATTTTGCGCACTTTTGTTTCCTATTGAGTGTATTTGTCATTTTACTTATCGCGCGCAAATTTTTGGTTATTTAAGTAAGTATTTTTCTATTATTTTCTCCTTTTATGCGCTCTAATTTTTAATTTATATTTCCTTTCCTGTGGTATGACCCTACCACAGAACCTATATTAACGCCATCCCCGCAAGACATAATCCTGGGGCTAGGGATATCCAAGTACCTGAGCTGAAAAGAGTTTGCCCCATGCTCTTTAATGAAGCCAGCCATCTAAACAAGGCTCAGCACACTGACACTTACGTCTTTTTCTGTGTTTAGAAACAAATTGAGCGGGAGAGGAGACAACGCTGGCGAGAGAATCGTAAGCAGTCGTCAACTCAAAGCAATCCTGACTGGGAGCATGTGCCACCGGCGTCATTCAGTCCCGACAACAGCACTGTCGCCTCAGGACCGTTGTCCGTTGG